CTTTTTTTTTTTTTTAGGTCCTTCTTATTTACACTTTTGCCCCTTTTTTTTCCCTCCTTGCCTCCCCCTTCCTCTCATTGCCCTCTCTCTAGTGTCCTCCTTCACGCCATATAGACTTAATACGTCCACAAAAGAATGTTTATTTCTATGGCCTCCCTGAGCTCCTCCCCTATTCCTTCCCATTTTGATGAATAGAACCATTGTTTACCCAGTTTCTCAGGTTAAAATCCAAGAAGTGATCTTTGATTCCTCTTTTCTCATAAAGCCCACATTCCATCCATCAGTGTGTCTTACAGGTGATTCCTCCAAAACATATCCTGAATCTGCCAATTTCTCACCACCACCTCTCCTACCACTGTATTCCTGGACACCAGCATGTCTTGCCTGGATGAGTGCCAGGGCCTCCTAACTGGTCTTGCTTCTTCTGCTTTTGCCCCCTAGGAGCCCCTCTGTGCATATCAGAGTCATATTTGCAAAACATAAATCAAATCATATCACTCTCCTGTTCAAAAGACTCCATTGGCTTCCAAACTGTTCACCATGGTCTACAAGGCCCTACATGATCTGGGCCTTGCCTCCCTCTTCAACTTTCAATGACTATGCTGCAGCTCAGGGGTCCCTTTCTGTCCTTCATACAAACTATGCTTATTTTTGTCTCAGGGCCTTCATATGCCTAATCTCATCTTGTCTCTGTTCAGGTGTTACCTCCTCAGAGGGACCTTCCTTGAGCTGCCTATATAAATTCTGCCCCCAGTGACTCTTCAGCACATCACCCTTTTGTGTGGGTTACTTAATTCTGAAGTTATCCTATTTCTTTATTTATACATGTATTGTTGGTCCATGTGTCAGTCTCGCCGCTGTTCTCCAGTGATAAGAATAATACTTGGCACGTTATAAGTGCTCACTCAATTTTGTGGGTGAGTGAAGGAATGCCCTCACTCCAAAGTACTTTTCTTTCTTCTCTTCCCCCACTCTCGCTCCATCAAAATGCCCTCTCCTTCAGAGCATGGATTTCATTTGGAAGGTGATAGGGAGGCCTCCACAAATATTTGCTGAATGAATGAAGCTAAAATGAATTACACCAACAAAGAATCCCAGCCTCTCGATGCTTGGCTATTCCCAGAAGTATCAGCGTTCTCAAACAGGAAGCTTGAATTTCAGGCATTGTTGACAAAGGGAAGAATTTCAGGCCAGCCAAGTTGAAGTGATATATTTGGACAGAGTTGCTGTTCCCGGGCTTCTTAAGCCCACAAATATTTATTAAGACCCTTTAAAGCTCCTTTGAAACCACAGTTGACATTAAAATGTAGAACACCGATTGAGAAGCATTGTTTGTGTCTGAGGAAAAAAATTGTGGACTAGGAAGTGGAAGGCTGGGTTTCAATGCCCAGTGTGCCTCTAATTAATTCCTCGGACAAGTTGCTAAAGATCACCAACATTTACTGAGTATCTAGCATGTGCCTGGCCCTGAGCGAGGCACTTTCTTCGAAGATATAATTTTTGCAACTCCGCAGGTGGATGTATTTAGTATCTCTTTTACAGGCAGGGAGACAAGGTCAGAGAGGTCAGGTATCAGGCATGAGGGCACTCCCTGATAAACAGCGGACCCAGGATCCTGTCAGCCTGCCCTCCTGTTCCTTCCCCTGTACGCTGATAAGGCACCTCACATCTTCTCCCATGAGTTTGTAAATGGTGGTGGGGGTGGGGTGGGCCTGGGGAGGAAACTCTTGGGCTCTGAGGAGTTGCTTTCTAAGATCCCTTTCATATGAGTGCCTCACTGTAGTGTTTTTTCTGGATGAACAGGAGAGGAAGAGAAAACAAGTCTGGCCCGAAGAACTCATTTGGGAATGTAACTTAGTGGTTAGAGTGAAGGCTTGGGGGTTAAGCTTCCAGGTTAACATCTGGACTTTACCACTCATCTAAGGCATCCACAACTTGGGTAGCCAGAGCACCTACCTCCTAGGTCATCATGAGACACAACTGAGGTGATGCCTGTAGAATGTGGGGACCAGCTTAGTGAGCACTCCATGACTATCAAATATTTATTTGATTATTAGCCTAATCATGATTGCGATGAACATTATAAAAGAAAGTATGGCAAAGGGGCCAAAGGGAAGCCCATCAGAGAAGAGGTAGGTGCTTGTCAGTGCACAGGAAGGCCGGATTACCACTAGCCAGTCTTGACAAGTGGCTGCAAGTTCAGAGGCTTCCAGAGCCACCATATCAGCCACGGAGATGCCCGGCGCGGGGTGGGGGTGGGGGGGGCTCCCAACAGCAGCAGTGTCAGGAGAGAGAGCTCCTGAAAGGCAGGAAGCCCAGAGGCCGCAGGAAACATTAGCTGGAGAAACAAAGTGTGTTTGAAAAGCTGAGCCTGGTGCAAGATAGGAGCCGGAGACAGAGCCCGGCGAAGAGTTCAAAGTACCTCACTGACATCTGTACTATTTTCTCCGATTACCAAAGTAATATACTGGTACTTTATAGAGCTTTATATAATGCAAAAAGCAAAAGAGTCCCCGATCCAAGTTTTGAAAACTCTTTTTATTGTAGTTGAATACACACAGAGAAATGCACAAACCATTCTCGATGGATTTTCTCAAAGTGAATACTCCCAGGTCGCCAGCACCCAGAATGTGGAACATAACGTTCATCAGAGCACTGGAAGTCGCGCTGTTTTGCCCCCTTCCAGTCACTACTGATCCCAACAGGGATTTCTTTTCTGATTTCTTTCACCATTGATTAGTTTTACCTGTTTTAAAATTTTATTTTAAGAAAACTTTTTAAAGATTTTATTTATTTTAGAAAGAGAGAGAGAGAAAGTGCACGAGTGGGGAGGGAGGGGCCCAGGGAGAAGGAGAGAGAGAGAGAATCTCAAGCAGACTCTGTGGGGAGCACAGAACCAAGGCTAAGCTCCATCCTGCGACCCTGAGATCATGACCTGAGCCGCAAAGAATTGGATGCTTAGCTGCCTGAGCCACCCAGGAGCCCCCAGTTTTAAAATTGTAAATAAACAGAATCACATAGAATGTACCCTTTTGTGGCTCAGTGGTTAAGCGTCTGCCTTCGGCTCAGGTCACGATCCTAGGGTCCTAGGATCAAGCCCCGCATGGGGCTCCCTGCTTGACAGGGAGCCTGCTTCTCCCTCTCCCTCTACTGTTCCCCCTACTTGTGCTCTCTCGCTCTCTCTGTCAAATAAATTAAAAAAATTAAAAAAAAAAAAGAATGTACCCTTTTGTGTCTGGCTTTTGTCACTCAGCATTATGTTGTAAGATTCATCCATATTGCTATTTAGTATTTCATTGCGTGGATGTACCACTATTTATTTATTCATTTCATTGTCAAATAGTGATGGGTTTGGGGGTAGTTTCCAGTTTTTAATTATTGTAAGTAATGCTAAGATCACTCTTGTATATGTCTTCTGGTAAATATATGTATTCATTTCTCTTGTGTGTATCCCTAGGAGTGGAATTGCTAGGTTATAGGATGTGCACATGTTCAGCTCCAGTAGTTATCAGTCTCCAAAGTTTTAAAAGCATATTCAAAGTATATATAAGATCTGGGACACCTGAGTGGCTCAGTCAGTTAAGCGTCTGCCTTCAGCTCAGGTCGTGATCCCAGGGTCCTGGGATGGAGCCCTGGCGTCAGGCTCCCTGCTCGATGGGGAGCCTGCTTCTCCCTCTCCGTCTGTCGCTCCCCCTGCTTGTGCTCTCTCTCTCTCTCTCTCTCTCTGTCAAATAAAGAAATAAAATCTTTCAAAAAAAAAAAGGTATAGATAAGGGGGCGCCTGGAGAAACTTTAGAGTCTCACAACTCTCTAAGAAAAGAGGATGAGGGGAGGGCAGTCCAATGGCACTTGTCCAATGAGCTCCCAATGGATCTCTTTGCCTCCAATCTACCAAGGACAGCGTGGCCAGATGATCTGTCCCAAATTCCACTTTTATCCTGTCACCCCCCCCGACCCTCCCCAGTAGAGGCCCTTCTTTAAACCCAACCACATTTCCACGGCAGCACCTGATTACATACCTGTCCACTTGCTGGCCTTTGACCAGATTTTAGTCATTTCTTATATTCATTCATCCATATGACAAACCTCGAATGCCTACAATCTGGGATTGGAGTAACATACACACCCCTACCTTCATGAAGCCAACATTCTAGCAGGAAGAGCTAGACAATCAACAGAGAAGAATATGTTAGTGGTGAGAAGGGGTCTGGTGGAAAAGAAAGCAATGTAGGGAGACTAAGAAGAACAGGGTGGGTCAGGAATGTGCTGTTGTCTAATAGGTTGGTCGGGGAAAGCCTGCGAGGCAGACAAGAGCTGGATTACGCTTTATATGATCGCTCTGGCTACTATGTTAGAAATGGACTATACGAGAGCAAGGGGGAAGAAAGGAGACAGGCGGCCGTCGGAAGAGTTCGAGCCAGAGATGATGGTGAATTGGACCGGGGTGATGGTAGGGGCACTGATCAGAAGCGGCTGCATTCAGCATATATTCTAAAGGTAGGAGTGACAAGGTTTGCTGACAGATGGGCTGTGGAGCATGAGAGGGAAGTCAAAGGTGCCCTGTTTCCACCAGGGGCAATGCCTCATTGCAAATATAGCGCAGGACCGGGCCCCGAGTCCAGAGTCTATTGACTGAATGGGTGGACGTCATTCCTGATTACAGCCAGCCAAAATTCCTATGTGAGAGGTTTATTTTCTGGTGTCTCAGAGGTGGTATGATATAAATATTAAGACAAATAATTGCAGTCAGACTGCCAGTCCCAGCTCTGTCACTTACCAACTGTGTATCTTCAGGTAAGTTACATAACCTCTCTGAGCCTCAGCTTTCTCCTCTGGAAAAGTGGGATGATAATAGTACCTCCATCACACTGTTGTCAGGGCTGTTGAGATAGTGCACATAAAAAGGCCTGGCATAGAACCTAATATCGACTCCGGGCTTAGGAACCATCTATGTTAAACCAGTTCCCAGATAAAACAAGCAGACAGAAGTCTGTGGAGTAAGAGTTATCTTTATTTGAGTTGCAAAATATAAATATGAACCAGGTTTGGAAATACAGGTTGTAACAGTTCAGAAATGGCACCAGAAACTTCCAGAAGGGACCATGACAGCATACCTTTTTAGTTTTCGGTGAGGGGGGTGGGTTTCCACAAAAGCCCTCCTCACGTCCAAACTCTGTAGTAATCGGTAGGTCATCAGTTAACAAGAACAGTCGGCTCCAATGTTTCCTGCTCCTCCTCAGCCTTTTTCTTTGCTAATACCTTTTCTAGACTATCCTCTGCTGCACTGACCCCTGCATGGAGTAGCACCAGAAGAATGGCAGGAGTAAGGGAAATGTCATGACGCAGGGAGGAGGGAGTTCCCACTCTGTGGGCCTGGGGCCACAGGGGTTGAGGAGCCAGGAAAGCCACGGGCATGGAAGCCCAACCTCTTACGAGATTTGGCAGGGAGAGGACATAGGCAAACACTAGTATCTGTTACGCTTGGACATCAGCACCGTGGGCTTTCAAAACACAAACGGTAGACAAAATCGCCTAGGCAAGACCGCAGTCCAACTCATAGAGTGGATCTGACAAAGTTAACTCCTATATCCTGACTCTACTGACCTCCCCCTGCGGCACTGTGAATGTGAAAGATCTTCAGAAATGTGGACAGAGAACAGATTACTACAGACGGGTCACAGAACCATCTCGGAGTTGTGGCAGAGGGGTGCGACACTGAGCCAGATGGTGGGGCATACAAGGTCGAGGGCCAGGAAGTCACCAAAGTAACAGACTAGGCACTTGAAATATTATTGTTAGATTGTTAAAAACTAAATAAATTAACATACATAGAATAAAATAAATATATAATTTAAGAGGCATTTTACAAACAAACAAACAAAAAATAGTTGTTATTTTTCCGTCTGGGTAGAAGTCCCAAAATTCAGAGTTCTTGGGCTTGTGGTATTTCACAGTTAGCTCATCAAATCCAGCGCTAGAGGGTCCAAATGGCAGATCCCTTGGTGGCTACTTGAGTACATGGCTTCTCAATCTTTGTTACTTTCTTCCAACCCACAGAGCTTTCCTTCTTCCTCTCCTTCTTCTTTTTTATCAGTCAAAGATCCTGGAGCATATGGAATATAACTGGCATCTGAATCCAGAAGTTAATCGTTTAAACACACTTATGAGGATACGTGGGGTTTGGAGGAGGGGAATCTGAAGGGCATGAAGGTCTCTCACTTTTGCTTTCTTCTCACCAAGATCCCATTTTGACATATTCCGTTTGGCACTTGAAGGCTCTGGTATTTTGGCAAAAATACCGGATTATGGGAGGCCCAATCTAGATAGCCAACTGGGAACGAAGGAGTCTTCCTGACGAGCTGTGACGTTCTTTCCCTCTGCAGAGTCTATGATCAGCTGTGCCTTCTCAGAGGTAGCAGGCCCCCCGCAGATTCCTAAAGCGCAAAAGGAAGGCATTTAAAGCTGGATCCAGTCTTAGGGGGACTTAAGAGTTTCCCAGGTCCAGTCTTAGGAAGTAGGAAGGTCTTCTGGGAGTGGGCAGAAGAGGGGACAAGGATGCGAGAAGCTGTTGTCGTAGGCCTCTCTCTCGGGTGTTTCTCTAGCAACTGTCACCCCTCGTGGAGATGGCCCACTGAAAACCTTTTTGAAAACCATTCTGCAATGGAACCCTGACTCCATAGTAGCCCGCCCCCAACCCCTAGGTCGAGAGAAGAGTTCAGAATGCCTTGAAGGGAAGACGGTGATGGCGTCATGGGGCAAAGGATGGACCATTACCTTGAGCACAGGTCTCTCTCAGTGGGAAGTAGTCATGCCCAACTTCACTTTCTCTTCACTTTCCACATCATAACCTCCTCTCCTGTGGTACCTGAAGGAGACAAGTTTTGTGAGCAAGCTCTGCCTGATATGATAGGGTGCAGGTCTCAGAGAAGGTCCTTCTAAAGGACACTGCCATGATGGTTCCCTCCATTACTTGGAAAAGCCAAGATGGTATGGCAGCCCAGCAGACCTCTGGTCAAAGGCCCAACTGCCCCAAGGAATGCCTGTCTCTAACAGCAGGCTATAATTTGCTGAGAACTTTGACCTTGTTTACATATCCTCATAATATCCTTATGAGGTAGGGAGACAGATTACAATCACTGTAAGATGATAGCCCTCAGAGAGACAGGTAACTTGGTCCAGATCTCACAACAGACGAATTGCACGGCTTGGAAATGGGCAGAGTGTTTGGTAGGTCTCCCCCAGTCTAGAACATCACCTGGACTGGAAGCACGACCTGAGGGTGAGATACCTCAGAACTGAAAGGATAAACCAACAGCCATACACCAGCCATCAAAGAACATGTATGGTTTGTCTATCAAACCGTACACTAATGCCATCAAAGAACAGAGCAAAGGGAAAGAACTGTGTGAAGGGGTAGACCCATGGGTGGGTTACTAGGCCTGCTGTGAAAAGCAGGACCTGCTATGACCTGGCAATCTTTGCCCTGGGCTCTGGACCAGGCTCTGGACCACTGGACTCATGTCAGGCCAGACAAGCTGGGTTCCTGGGCTCAGGAATGTCGGTCAGATTCCTAGCCTGGAATTTGGGAGGTTGAAGGACTCATATGATCACAGGCAGAAGACCCGACTGGAGGAGGACTGGGAGTGATTTGCAGAAACAACCTGCAGGGGGCCCCAATACTCACCGAAACATGAGAAGCCCCGCGATGACAAGCAGACAGACAGACGACAGCACCACGGCCACCACAGCCAGGATGGTTGTATGGTCATAAGTATATAAGCGATTTTCCACTGGGAGGCTCAACCCATGGCACCTCTCTCCGTGGTAACCGGGCTCGCAGCTGGTTCCAGACGGGACAAAGCAAAGATGAGGTTAGTGGTTTGGCCTCTCTCTACAGGCAATGGTCCTCCTGCCTAAGCCAGATCGCAGTCCTCACAGCCTCAGCCTATGAGTCCCTGGCCGTGATCCCCACCCTTCCTCTATCCTTCTAGAAGGAGTCTAGGAGAAGACTCCTGAGAAGCCGCCCTGAAGGCTCTGTGGCTTTCCTTCCCACCCTTTGCCCCGCTCTCCATTCCCTCTGGTTCTCTGGCTCAAGATTCCCACTCCAGGCCGGGAAAAAGTGAGAGAGGACTTCAAGGTCCAAGCTACATATGTTCCATGTGTGGATGATTTATTACATGGGTATTAAGACATGGTGTTTAAGCCCCTCAGAAGACTTAGGTCCATTAGCTGGTGGGTTGAGTTGAGGGGACTGGGTATTACTCCCTCTGGTGAGGCCCCTTAACTCTGACCCAGAAATAAACCCAGCCTTCTCCACCACGGCTTCCAGCCCTCAGTCCCTCTCAGCCACGGCCCATCCTATTAATAGGTCCTGTTCCTTTGCCAGGAGTCATTTTTCTCAAGTTCCTTTCATTTAACTCCCAGCTCCCTCTGGGTGCAGGGCCCAATTTGAGAGCTTCACATCAACTTTTGGCCTCTGAACCCTGGGCTATCTGGCCTCCTCCATCATAGGACAAAGCAAAAAACAAAAAAAAAAAACAAAAAAACAAACAAACAAAAAAACCAAGGTAACCTCTTGCTCAGCTGTCTTGCCAGAACATGGAAAAATGTCAGAAACAACACTCCAGCTTTTCACACTCAAGAAATCAATCAGATGGCAAATGCCTCTTCTAACATAAAGCATTTCCTCAAAGCTCTTAGGAAGACTGGGAAACCCTTTCGGGTGAACAAGCACATTCATGTCCCTTCCTGTATCTGAGCACCCGAGAGGCCCTTTGATGTAGGTGGCAGCCCCCCACGTTACAGAAAGCCAGAGCTATCCTCCCCATGGTCACTCAGCAGAGCAGAAGCGTGGTCTCGGTTTATCTGACTCTGAGCTCAGTGTGCTCCCCAATTACACCCACAAGCGCACTGGCACCGTCTGCCTGGGGACTTTGGGCCACCAGCTTGCTGATGGAAGCACCGAGAACCTGGCGGCCCTCTATTCTGAGCTGTGCCTCCTCTGGGAAGCAGGTTGTGCATGTGGTAGGTATCTCAGAGCAAGGAATCCCTTCTTCTTGCTGAGAGGCACCCCAGAAGCGGACCTATCCGGACCTGGCAGCAGCAGGGGGGCCAGGCCGCCCCTGCTGAGTGCCGAGCACCTCTCCCTGCCTCAGCTCCTCCTGGGTGCTTTGGGGAACCACCTCACTGTAGGATAAATGTGGGTCAGTCCCATATATAAACAGCAGGGCACACGGCTCCATGCCCAGCCTCTCCATGAACCCATCAGCCAAGGTGGGCAACACAACGACCCCCGTCCTGGCAGGCTGTGGAGGAAGCTCTCAGGAGTGCCCCTGGAAAATCACTTATGCTCAGCAGTTAACAGTTTATAAGGTACTATCCTTATCTGCTAGCTCAACTGAGGCTCATAACATCTGGTAGGCAGGTACGGCTCCATTTTACAGATTGAAAGACTAAGATTACAATCAGAGGATGTGATTTACCAAAAGTAGCATAACTAAGAAGCAGCAAGGCTAAGACTAGAAACCAGTCCAAGCAGATTCCAAATTCATGATTCTTTCCACTCGGAACAGCACAGATTACCCCCAGGAAACACGTATCTGATGAAGTGATAGGTTCCTGGGATTGTCTGACCCTGCTCTTTGATTTATTATTATTAATTTGAATAATAAATAGCCAACATTAAAGGCTTACTGTGAGCCAAGTACTCTGTGCTAATTGCTTTACAAGAATCACTTCAATTAATCTTAAAAACATCTCTGCGAAGTAGGAGTTACTATCCCCATTTCAAAGATGGAGAGACTGAGGCTTAAATTCTTAGCTAATTCGCCCAAGGTTATGCAGCTAGTGAGAGGTAGAGCCAGGATTCAACCCAGCAGTCCAGATGACTTCAGAGACTATGCTCTCCTGGGGGGGGGGGGGGTGGGGGGAAGGGAAGTGAAGCTCAGGCTGTTTTTCACTTCCAGCCGTCACTCAAACCCCACAGGTAGTTACTCAGATGATAGAAATAAAGCTTGGTCTCAGAGTCCCGCAATTCAGTTACATAATCCCTCCACCCCCACCCTGAGTCAAAAGGATAATAATGTAAACATCCTAATATTACCCACCTCCCCCTCCCTTTGCAGATGACTCCTGTCTTCCCCAGAGAAGGAGGGGGGATGAGCCCATTCCAAGCATCCCGGGTGGGGGCAAGATCATGTATCTTGCTCAGAGCCAGCAACCCACCAAACTGGAACGCGTTCCTCCTACTGATGTTTGTGACCCATTTCAGAACTTGTGTTAGTATTACAATGGAAGGAAGAACCCTCTAGGGTCCAGAGACATCTTCCAAACTGGGTTTTTCCACCCCTACCTCATGTCTTGCTGCTATTTCTAGCCAGGTGATCTTGAGCAAGTTACTTTTACCTTTCCAAGCTTGGGTTTACTCATGTAAAACACAGGAATAATAAATACCTATTTCACGAGAGTATTTTGAAGATCAAATGAGATACTACACTTAACAGCCCTTAACAAAAGACCAAGTCCCACATATGTGTGAGTGATTATATAATAGGACTCCAGAGGGTACTGCCCTGAGGAATGGGGCACCGAAGTCAGATGGAGCCAAAGAGAAGGGGGCTCACCGTTCCTTCTCAGCATCTGGCCAGTGAGGCCAAGGGAAGGCCCCACGCCTGTCTCTCTTCCAGCTGAGTTCTTCTCAGCCTGACTGCCTCCAGGTTTCCTCCGGCCACAGGAAACTTTGCAGCCAGTTTCTGGGTCAGCAGCCAGTCAGGAGCCCTAGGAAACTATTCTTTGAGGGCAACTTTTGGCTGGTGACACAAAAGGGTTTTCCTGGGTATGGTGGCTGTGGAGGACTGGTTTAGGAAACCAGCTAGCCTCAAGCTCCTCAGGGCAGCCTGGGCACACTCCAGCTGGTGGTTCCCGGGTCTAGAGGAAGGAGGAGCAACAAAGGGCCCCACACGCAGGTGACCAGATATCACATTTCCCCACACCAGGAGCTCTGTGTCTTCTTGCTGCTTTCTGCCCTGAGTTCCAAAGGCCGGAGGCAGGAGGTGGCCAAAGCAGACACAGAATCCAGCCCCTAGAAAATCTGCCTAGGAAGCAGAGACGAAGCCTTCAAATCAGATTGCTATGCTACGAAAAGCCTTAAGAGACCTCGAACCTAACGGCTATCCTCTGTAAAATCCTATTCAAACTCTGTAAGGACAGAGAGGGAAGAAGGACGCAAGCCAACACCCAGGACAGCCTGGGGGCATGAAAAGCGTGCTGGACCGGAAGTCCGGCACCTGAATCCTTGTTGTGTTTCCATCCATTTATTTAGCTGTTGATCTCAGGCAAATCACTTCCTACTTCCTGGCTCTAGTTTTCTCACCTTTAAACTAGAGATAGCAAGCCCTGCCAACCCCCGTCCAGGGCTTTTGAGAATCCCAGGACATGACTATAATTGCCCGTTCCCTAGAACAGTTGGCACCAGGTAGGTACTGAACCCGTACCCGTGGGGCTCAGATCATTTTAAAGGTTAATTGTGAAGTTATGGGGCAAAGGAGAGAAGGCATCATCATGGTTATCATCACTATCCCTAGGACCACCTTGGCCCTATGCACCCTTATCTACCGGCTTTCACGGGTGGGTCAGGCCCTGCTCTCCAGGAAAGCACCCTTGCAAAGGTTCTCAGCTAAGCAGTCGAAGTCCATCCGCCAAAGCCCTGGACTACACAGATTCCTGGCCTCAATCCATCTTGACTACCCTCGTAGTCACTGCCTCTATCCTGTGCCAACGATGGCATTTTACAAATTTAAGACAAACATTTCCCACCCTATCCCAAGACCTTGGGAAGAATAATAGGGGGACTGTCTATGTTCCTCTAAAGCAACTCCCTCTAAGACCAAGCTCCTGACAAGGATGTTATAGGGGAGGACACACAAGTGATCTTGGACATGGTGGAGAGTGATGGGTCTGTCTGCCAATTGCCAAATACAGGGTAGCTTTGCTATGTCAGATCAGTCAGGACAAGGAAGACTTAAAAAGCCAAGGGATCGTGGGGCGCCTGGGTGGCTCAGTCGGTTGGGCGTCTGCCTTCGGCTCAGGTCATGATCCCAGGGTCCTGGGATCGAGCCCCGCATCGGGCTCCCTGCTCAGCGGGAGGCCTGCTTCTCCCTCTCCCACTCCCCCTGCTTGTGTTCCTGCTCTCACTGTCTCTCTCTGTCAAATAAATAAATAAAAATCTTAAAAAAAATAAAATAATAAATAAATAAATAAAAACAGCTAAAATGGTAAAAAAAAAAAAAAAAAAAAAAGCCAAGGGATCGGTACCAATCACAGTAGAAGAGATGCCAGGCAGCCAGCCTTCTGGACAGGCCGAGGGGTGGCACCCACCTAATAGTCTCCTAGCTCTGTCCAGAGTCTCCCAGGTCACAAAGCCTGTCTCTCTAAGGGACCTTGTGCCCAGAGGGAGAGTGGATGTTTGTAGTCGAATGTGGGTGTTGGCCTCAGGCACAGTGGCGACATTATGCCTGCCAGAAAGCATGGTGGTGCCATCATCCCTGAGGGGGTGCCAAGGCAGCCGTCTGCTGGGCTTGGCTTAGCAGAGCAGCTGGGGAACCCACGGCCCCTCCACCCAGGGAAAGGGTGGTGCTGCCTGACCAGGGGCTGATGCCTACTGGGTTGGGTCCCATTTCCTGTTAATCTTGCACAAAGGAAGTGTTCTCCCAATCCCATGGCCAAAGGCCAATACCCACTATGTTCCCCCATGTCCTGGCCCTTGCTGGGATGAGGAAGAAGAGACGAAGGGGCTTCTCCCTGCTTCCACGATGATTCCTTTCTGGTTAGTCCTGCCATGCCTTTGAATCAACGCGCAATGTGCTCTCATATGAGCACACATATGTCCGAGCACACACATCTGCACAGTGTGAGTCCAAATGCACCTCATACCTGCCTGCAGGGCTTGGGAGAGGAGGTCCCAGGAGCTCTGCTCCAACCCGGAAGCCTACTCTGCCACGTGTCCTACCGGCTTCTCCCATCTGGAGTAGGGCATGAGGTAGGACTGAAGGACCTGCCTGCAGGTATTAGCTCTCCTAGCCCCATGTTCATGTCTGAGCAAGCAGGAAATGTCCCCAAGGATGAAAGAGCGTCACAAACCTACACCACAGGAAATTACATCCCATGCGGGGGAGAGCCCCTTCCGCTGACTAAAAATATTTCCCCTCCTCCCAACTTCCGCCTAAAGATTGAGAAGAAGCTGGGTAGAATTATGAATTCAAGGAACAGTGACAACGAGGAACAGCCACGTGACTGACAAAGAGTGTGCTGAGCCGAGTCAGCCCAGGGAGGGGACACTTACATGCAGGATGGAGCCCGGAGCTCCTTCACATATTTGCATTCTCCGTGGATGCAGAAGTCCTTGTATTTCCGAAGACATGGGTCTCTCTTCCTCCCTAACCCCTTGCCTTTCTTCTTTTTTTTCCCACGCTCCTCCTTGCTGGGTGTGGCCAGGGCCTGTGGCTTGGAGGAGAAAGCAGCTGCAGGAGAAAAAGACCCTGTTAAGTCTTCGACTCTCCTGGAGGCAAGACTCCGAACAGCATCGTGTCTGGAAGGAATGCGTCCTCTTTGATCCCACCTGAAGTCAGAGGACTCGGGAAGGCTCCCAGGCTCAGTGCTTCCCCAGGGCTAAAGGGAGACTGGGCCGAACCACCAGAAAGCAGTGGAGGAAACAGAGGCTATAGGGGTCCCAAGGAAGGCATTTCTCAGACTCAGTTTAAGAACTCCATTCAAACAATGCTAGCTTCTGTTGAATAACTGCCGCTGACTGGGCAGTTCTACCAACCTCGCCCCCAACCCACTGTCCATCCCCATCTACTCCCCCACGCCCACTTGGTGCTATTTTGGCCTTAAATCAACCTCATTTCCTGATGCTGCACTCAGTGACCCACTTGCAGGAAGACAGTGTCAGAGATAAAAATTGCTTCTGCAGAAGGTACTTGGAGGGTTTTTTTTGGGGGGGAGGGCTCCCAAAATAACAACAGTGTCCACGTCCAGATGCCCCCCTCTGACACACCCGTTAGCACCACGGTACCATGAACCCAGGCCAGAGCCAGGCTTGGGGACCGCAAGCAGGCCATCCCTGGTCAGGTCCTTGCTTTTCTGACTTCAAGCAGAATATTTACCTGGCTCTGTGTCCTTTGCAGCTCACCACTTCTCTCAAAGGTCTATTACATTTACCCCCAAATGTCCTGTTTATAGCTCTCTAGGATGGGTGAGTATAGTGTGTACAAGGGGGCGAAAGATGGAAAGTAAGGAACTATCCAGAAGGAACTGGAACAATGATGACTCCCCCCATTCTTTCCACACTTCAAAGGGGGGAAAAAGCAGCCTCACATAGATATCCAGCTGGGACTGACCGTGGGCTACGCCCATTAGCCCATCAGGGGTCTGACGCCAGTCCTCTCTCCCCTGCTCCCAGCAGAAAAAACATGCCTGCAGCCATGTGTCTGGTGCAAGGGTGAGCATCATACATTGGACTGGAGACCCAGCATCCTCAAGCGGGAAGTGACTTGAAAGAATGTCATGGCTTTCCATTTTCAGATAAAAAACTTGAGGTCCCAAAAAGCAGTGATTTGGTAAAGGTCATGCAGGGTTGAGGTCAGAAATGTGGTCTCTGGATTCCATATCCAGTGCTCTTTCCCAATATACCAAACTGCTCATGCACCTCTGTCCCTTCCCCTGGACAAGTCTAGAGCACCCGGGATGTTGAACCAGGAATGAAACAATGAATGGGCTCTGAAGTCAGCAGACCTGTGCTCCAACTTTAGCCTTCTGATTTTGGGCAAGTAGCTTAATCTCTCTGAACCTTGGGGTTCTCAATAAGTAGTGGCTAGCAGAAGTTCAATGTCAGAGGGTTGTTACAGGATTAATCAACCTACAATAGCATAATGAGTGCCTAAAACACAGTAGGTACTTAATAAATTGTAATGGTTATTCATTTTAGATGATATGATCCCCAGACCTGAAAAATAGCTTTCACCCAGCAAAGCCAAGAGAAGGGAAGGAAGGCAGGTGCCAGTAGTCCCACAGTCCCTTTTCCTCTGGTGTAGACGCAAGTCCCTTCAGAACTCAGAAGGTGGGGCCGATGCTCAGAGTGACCAGAGCTGTAGTGAAACTGTGGCAGGAGAGGCAAGCCAACCAGAGAGGGGAGGAATAGAGTGACAGGGTGACAGCAAGCCTCCTGCCAGGGACAGGGAGCAGTGAGTCAGGTCTGCAGAGGTATGAGGAGCAGCCGTGTGGGTGGAGGGTGAGTCACAGCCCAGCTCTGCCCAGCCTAGGAGGAGAGGGCTACGAGAATCCAGGTTGTTCCGGCCAGGGGTGACCCAAGGAGGCTACGGGGAGAGGATGAAGGGTGGCAGTGCAGGCTTGGCTTGGGAGCAGACCTTTGATTTATATGAAGCAGAGACAGTACCTAAGGGAAGCTCTGCGTAAGGAGGGGGAACATGGTTGAGGAGCAGGCGGGGCTAGAACAGGTGGGTATCTTTCCAACCAAATTAGTCATTCTGGCACTCCAGGGCTCAGTCCCTGCTCCACCCTCAAGAATCACGGCAGGTGGCTGTAGGCAGGCAAGTGGTCAATGCTGGAGGCTCTGGACTCTGCCCTGTGCCTGTACTCAGCCACAGCCATATCTGCTGGTTGGAGGATCCCACCTGGCCCTTCATCCCTCGGAGTCTTTCTCAGGCACTCAGGGTGCTCAGAAGTCTCTAGGCTTTGGGTAGGATGTGTAGACACATGCCATTTCATTATACCTCCCTAGGGACACTGTGCCCACCACTCATAGGCTCCCCAGGAGGTGCTGGCCTCACCTGGGGGACCAAGAGTTCCTCATTCCCCTCTGTTTCTCCAACCTGGAGACAGGTGGATGGAGAAGACAGCACAGCTACTATGTTCCTAGGCTCTCCACATCTGTCATTTTATACATAATGGTCATTTGATAGAGGAATTAAGACTTGCACCCATTGTTATATAGAAACAAAACGGAAAGCATCCTAACCATTCCTTGTTCCTTGCTCCAGCTTACCCCAGGGGAATGTACCAGACCCCAGACACCTTGCCTTCTCCCTAGGCTCTAAACTACCCAGAAGGGCAGCAGCTGGACATGCGAGACTCAACAGCAAGAAAGACAGTGGGACCCACATTTCAGGATCCCTGAGTAAGCTTGTCAGGCTCGGCAGCTTTTCCTTGAAGTCCTCCACGAATACCCCCAACCCGCAAGTGTGCCCAAACGGCATGAATCCTCAGTCCACTTATTCTTCAATTGCCAATTGCGGGGTCGAGGATGGGCAGCCCTCACACCCACCTCTTAAAAGGTCCAGGTCTGTCTCTTCTAAGTTCAGGACTTCCCTGCCCCGGCCGCCTTCCGGGGCCAGTAGCTGGTCTGTAGATTCGGTGGGAGAGTCCAGGTTGCCGGTTCCAGCTGCCAGCCCTCTCCGAAGCCGCTCCAGGCTCTCGCCAGTCACCAACGCCGAGAGCACTGCGGGTGAGGGGCGAGGCCGCATCAGACCCCCTCTCCAGACCCCCGGTCGCCACGCACCAATGCTGGCGCCCGCCCGCACCCAGTGAGCACGGGCCCCACCAAGTGGCCCGCGCTGGGGTCGCTGCAGCGACCTTCCCCTGTGCCCCCCAGCACAGTGTCCCCAACCCCCCCCCCAAACTCCGGGGGCGTCGGCAGTCCTCTCACCTGCAGCCAGAAAGAGCTTCAGCACCACCGACGGCAGCAGCTTCATGGTCCTGGACCCGGAGGAGGCGGCGAAGCAGCAATCACTTAGGAGGCGGCGGCCACCGGGCGCTGGCACCGGAGCCGGGGCGGGCGGAGCGCAGGAGATTCGGCCGCTTTCGGTCTGCTGCCGGCCTCTGGGTGCAAGCCTAGCTGGGACCTGCGTGGAACCGGCGGCCACTGGGCGTCTGTCTGCTCACTCTGTCTGTCCACCCGCCCAAGCCCCTGACGTCTCGGTCAGGCCCGCCAGCCACGCGCAGCCCGCAGGTCCCTCGGTCGACTGAAGACTCCCCCGCGCGCGGCTGGGAATAAGGCTCCGGGAGGCGCCGAAGCCCCGCCCCGCCCCCGCCCCCTCCCCCCTCCCGCGCTGGGCCGCTCGCCCGGCTCCCGGCGCCCGCCGCGCAGCCCCCGCAGCCCCCCACTCCGAGGGCGCGGCGGGGGAAGGGGGCGGGAGTAGGGGGCGGCGCTGACATATTTTGGGACCAGGCCAGGGCCGCCGCCGCCTGACTGTGGGAAGGGCTGCTGACCGGCAGGTGGCGGGGACCAGTTCCTACCTTTCCCCAAACGCTTGTCGCGCTGCAGCCTTGCGACTGCTGAGCTGAGCTCTGCCCTTGGACACCACTCGTTCCTTCCCCTCTTCCAGGCCTGGTCCCTCCAGCCATCCCTGCTCCACACCAGGGATCTGCACCCATGTCACCTTCTGAAGGGTAACACTCCCGTCTTTGCCTAGCAACACAGCAAATAGTAAATCATAATTAATTCATATATCATTTAAAAATTAGGCACATAAAAAAAATTAGACACATGAATGCCAGCAGGTCTCATGAGCCCAAAGTAACCAGAGTTGCAGTTGCAGGCACTTGGTATCAATCCAGCAAAAGCAAAGGAAGTTAGTATTCTTCCAGCGGCTGGAGTGGCTTCCCTCCATCTTTCTCCCAGGGGACATAGTCTTCATTAAGATTTTTCAGCTATGGATTATAATTCCCAGGCTTCTGGGATCGGAGAGACAATGGTTGTGCAACAAGCCTCATACTATTCCTTGTCTTGGAACCCCACCTTCTTCCCCAGCGTCGAAACCGAGACCCTCTCCCCTGGGAGCCAGCTGGCTAGCCTAGGTTGCTATGTTCAACAGGTGCCAGGAGATTGATGTGTTTCTCCTCCAACCTATGTATTTTTACAAGGCTCTTCTGCTGTCAATGTCCTGACCCAAAGAAATGACTCTCTCAGTAGATATTTCAGCTCCCAGAGACATGCTGGGGAGGGAATTGTATGACACAGGGCTGGGTTGGCATTCAGAGCCCTCAAATTGTGCCAAATAGAGTTGCTTGCCTGATTCAGCCCATGTGTAGAGATAAAAACAGGCCTCCTATTTATACACAGGCTATCCCACTGTCTCTCTCCGTCCCCACTTTTGCAGGGGTCTGCCCTCTTGACTTGCTCCTAGCAACCCTTCCCAGGCCTAGGTTTCCATAGTCCACTGGAATTACTACATATCTAAGTTGGAATCCAGACCTTGCTACTTATTGAGTGACCTTGAACAAGATATTTAATTTCACTGAGCCTCAGTTTCCAAATCTCTCAAATGGAAATAACAAATAATAATAGGGCCTCCTTTGTAGAGAGCTTTTTGAAGATTGAATGAGGAAACTCATATAAGAAAGCAATTAGTACAGTGCCAGGCATATTATAAGCTCTCAATAAATGTGACCTATTATCTTATTATCACTAAGCATTCTACCTTGACTACTCTATTCCCTTGGAGGCTTCTCTTCTTTCGCTTCCTGACAGGTCTGAGGCTATATGTTGTCAGTTGGACTGGTTTCGGGCGGAAGCTCACCTGTCACCTATTTGGCCAAGTGCCATCATGGGATTATTCTTTTGGGTGATCACTAGTACCTCAGTGGATGGTGACCACCCAGGCCACACCTTTGTTCTCCCTCAGCAACTGCCTGACCACCTCCTTCCCCCAAACAAAACCACTTTGAGGTCAGGGCTCTCCCCAGGGAAGGGTGGAGGGAGCACTTCCTGACACACAGCCAAGTCACCCCTTTCCCCTACCTGCCGCCAGGTTCACACCCTGCTCTCCTGTCCCAACCTGCCTCTCCCTCTGTGTGCTCCGTCCTCCCGTCTTCTCACCTCCACATCAGCCTCAGCCTCACCCTCCGTGGGGCAACTCCAAGCTTTCATCACACCTAGGAGCCTCACCCACCTCAGTTTGTGTGTCAGCCAGGTTTTACGGGAAGGGCCTGGAAAAAGAAGACAAAAGGCCTGGAATGCTTTTGGGACAGTCACTTCCCCCTCTCAGAATCTGGGGTGTCCTCTGACCAAGAAAATAAATCACAATTCAGGCTGGGGTCATTTCATTAGCTTATTTACTCCACAAACATACAATGAATGCTTTTCAGGCACAAGGGACACAGCAATAAACAAGGCAACCAAGAATGTGCTTTCATGACGCTTCCATTCTACTGAAAGTGAAACAGGCAACATATTAAGTAAATTAAAAAAAGGAAAAACAGCTACAGTGAATGCTCAAATGCAATGATATTCTGTAGGGTGGTGTGTCCCAGTGCTTGGGATGATACTTTAGGTTTAGTGACTGATCAGCAAACTCGTCTCTGAGCAAGTGGCATGTAAGCTGAGCCCTGAATAAAAAGAAGGAAACAGACTTGTGGTCATCCATTGCAAAAATATTCCAAGCCATGGACATAAGTGCAAAAACTGAAGTGGGAACAAACTTGGACTTTCAGGGAACAGCAAGAAGGCCAGAAAGCAAGGTGGCATATAAGATAACCTTGAAGCAAAGGCTAGGGACAGAGAACGGAGGACATTACAGGCTGAAGTAGATGCTGCAGTTTATTTCCTATCGCTGTGAGATGGTGATGGGAAAGCACAATAACGCAGGATTTTTTCATGTAACCACCCCCCTGCTCTCTGGCTGTCAAGTGCCCGGGATATACCCCTAAGGAATCAGAGTCCAAACAGGCCACTCCAATTTCCCCAACTGTCTATGGGCCATGAGCAAACTGAGGCTTAAAGATTCACTGGCCCTGGGCCACCAGTGAGTAACAAGGGGGCAAATCCAGAGCAGAAACCCTGGCATCCTGTTCTCCAGCCCCATCCTGGGTTCCCTAGCCTCTGGAAAGACAGGCTTCATGGGACACTGAGTGTCACTGACTCACTGCCATTCCATACAGACCTTGACATGGGGAGGGAAGCCAGTGGGGAGGAGGTGGGGGAATGGGGCATTGGTCAGGAGAAGACAGGGGAGAAAGAGTTTTGGAGAGGGAACCAACCTGAATCCCTTCCCCAATGTGGCTGAGATGTCTATGCCAATAGATTGGTTCCCCCAAACCTGGCTGTACATTAGCATTACCTGAGAATTTATTAAAGATAAAAAGGTCCAAGCCCCACCCACTCCTCCTAATTCAAAACCTCCTGTGGTGGGGCCCAAGCTTTTATACTTTTGTTGGTAATTCTGACATCAACCAGGTTCAGAAGCACTGGTCTATATAATTAGCTAGAATAATTTATTGCGCATCTGAACAAAATGTGAACCTCTGAGCCAGAGGCAGAGGAGCTTTAGGTAATGACGCTTGTCCTGTGCTCAACACCTCACACACATTATCTTGTACGATCCTCACAATTGCCCTCAGACCAGATATTTCTCCCCATTTTAAGGGGTTGAAGCTAAAACAGGTGAGTAGCAGTCCCAGGTCACCCAGCTGGCGAAAATCCAAGCCTCGATCTGAATTCCTTCCTTCTTCCTGGGCCTCTGTGCTTAAAGCTCAACACTGCCCCTTAACAAATGGATGAGACAATGGCTGCCTTCTCCCTGCTTCTACAGACAGTAACATCGTCAGCTTTACTGAGGCTCAGGGCTCCATCTGTCCTGCGGGGGACAGTGATAAGAATATGCCGCAAGGCTGGAAGGAGGACTAGGTAGGACAGCAGAGCAGCTAGTGCAATGGGTATACCCTTGGGAGCCAGACAGCCAAGGGTTCAAATTTTGAATATGCTGTTTTTTTGCCTTAGAGGTTAGGACGAGTTATTCAACTTCTCTGACCTACAGTTTGCTAACCTGCAAGACGGGAATAATAATAGTAGCTATTACTAAAGGGGTTTGTGACGGTTAAATCAGATCCTGTGTGTAAAGCAGAATACGATGCCTGGCACATGGTAGGTGCTTACTTGGTGACCGCTGCTACTAGGAACAAATGCGTCAAAAAAATACACACGCACGCACGCGCACGCACGCGCACGCGCAACCCCCAAATGCGGCTACCTTCTTTCCTACCCTCCTTCCTTCCTTCCTTCCTCTCTCTCTTTCATTTTTTTCTCTCTCCTTCTCTCTCTCCCTCCCTCCCTTCCTTCCTTTAAGTGGGAAATTTACAAACGTACTGCTTTGTCATGGGGCAGCCATCCTCCCTCATCTCTCTGCTGAGAGATCGTCATGCTTATGATGAGATGATGGTTCTCCAAGGCCTCCTGGAGTTTTGAAAACCTTTACCCAGGATAGCAATCCTGGCTCAGAGCTCAGAGAGTAGCATGTGTCCCCTGGGAGAGGGTATTCAGCCACCTTTTCCTTCCACTGTGACCAGGAGAAGTGAGTCCTAAGGGGACCCAAAGCTCTGCTGGCTGGGGAAAGGGCACCTCCCTTGAGGGTACTTCTCTTATAGGGTACCATGAGCCCAGAGTTACCCAAACTTGAAAGCTGAGAGTTAAGGAGTCATCGTTCCTTGCCCCAGGCTGCTCTCATCCCTGCTCTCTGTCCCCAGCTGAGCCTGATGATCAGGCAGTTTTGGGGGTACAGCTGGATCTGTACTCAGATCTGCCATTTTGAACCCCCTTGTACCTCCTATGTTGCCTGGGGGCTCCTGAAGGTCGTGCCAGGTAACACTTCACGTACACCCAGGGATGAACCTCTTGTCTGATTGCCTGGGCTCAGGATCCATTTGAATAGGATGAAGACTAGGAATGGATAAGGTAGGGAGGGGGTTTAGAGGAATCAGGAGTCCCTGGCTTTCCCAGATGTTGAGGAGGGAATATTTATAATGTCCTTGGTTTAGGCCTGGATTCCAAGCCATCCTTCTCCATTTCTGGGCCCATTTCTGTGACTTTGAGGGATTAGCGGGACTTTACCGCTTTGGCCATCCCCTCACACAGATGGCTGTCTGTCATCAGGGAGGGGGCAAGTGATTTCTCACTCATCCATCACACAACCCATCTCCCTCTTTAAGCCTCAGATTCCTCACGTGTAAAATGACAGGTTGAGGCAACTGTTCTGTATTCAGGCACTGGCCAGTAAATGCCCAGCATGAATTGTTCCTGCTGAGACAGTTCCATGACAACCAACAGCCCTGATCTGTGGGGCACGATAATCTCTCTCTCCATGCCTCTTCGTCTTTCAGTGTGGATAATAACTATTTGCTTAGGGGGTTCTTGTGACTAAGGAGATAGCTCCTCTGAAAGCTGGAGAGCAAAATGGAGAGCCCTACATAAATAGGTCAGTACTATTGTTACTAACTTCTCTAGGGCTCAACCTTGGAATGAGGTCACATCACATCCTGTACCAGGAATGTGTAAGTTGGGTTCCTCTTCGAAATGCAATCACAGAGCTGCAATTTAAAAATTTAACCTTATCCATTTGCTTTTTTTGTAACAGAGGGTTGATCTAGGACAATGGTTCACAAAGTAAGAGATACTGCCCCCTAGGGGTCATTTTG